AATGTGAATAAATCTGATTACAAGACTTTCGGGAATTCTTCAGCATTCCTTACGTTTTTTTCTGTTTAAGAGTCTACCTGCTAACCGGAACTGTCCACGTACACTCATATTTGGAAACGCATGCCATGTCTATTGACTTCTAATCGGTACTACCAAATGTGAAGATGAAAGTGACGTCACCTTTGGTCAGTATATCGTCTACTGCAGTTGACGCGGTGTGTCTCACAGATGATTTTTTTATCTTCTTTCATTGTTCGGTCTTTTGGTCGATGATAATGCGAAATGCAGTGATTATGTTGATTTGAGAGTGACATCTGTTCCATAAGATTTCGATATCCTGGTAGGAATTTAGGCAATGTTTTTCACATGTTGCAGAACGATTTTCCTTTGAATTTTATTGGATGATTTCCAATTGGTCGGTTTGACTGAGGGTAAGCATATTTTTTGATGACGTTCCGTGGATATCCAATTTTGCGGAAAGGAGACCATAAGATATTTCTATTCTATTCTTCCCAAAGTAGGAGTTTTTAAATTATTGCAACAGCTATTTTAAGTATCGTCTTTATACAACTTCTTGTGTTCTACCGAAATTTTGCTGTTGTAGTTGAGTATTTGATCTGTATAGATGACCTTTTAAGTCTACAGTTTCCTTGAAATTTCCTCCTCTGACTTTTCCTCTTTTGTAGATTAACACTCAGAAAATATGTTTCTATTAATCTGCACAGTATGGCACCAATATCATCCAGTGACGTCAACGAGTATTTGTCCTCACATCCTGTTTGTTGGATCCCATCCGACTGGTGAATAATTACAATCAGATCTCGAAAATCCCATACCTGATTAGCATTTAAACTGAGGAAACACATACACACGCCCATTAAGATTACGCCAAAAATAGTAGAAACCGGGCCATATTCTCAAATGTGAATAATATGAAGTATTAAGAAATGAGAGCAGTAAAATATTAGTTCAATAGAAAGCGAAACACAATATAACTAGGAGGCATCTTTTCAACCACGGGAAGAACGGATGAGAATGTCAAAACTAGAATTAGAAAGGCGGGACAGACCTTTATGTCCCTGAAATCAATGTAGAAATCGTCTGCACTACACTCAGCATGAGCAACAAAATTCTGATTTTCAACTAAAATGTCAAGTTAGTGAGAGTTTCTGTATGAGTCAAAGACTTGGCGCGTTCATTATGGAAAACATTTTCATTTATTGGCTACAGACATTCACCAAGAAGGGCCTTTATTCCACACTGAAGATCAACAAGGCCAGCCAGAAAGAATTAGTAACAAGAAACTCTGGCAATGCATCAACCAATCAAGGACCTATTGCTCAGAAAATATGGTGGAGAATATGCAAATGGATAGGACACACCATTCAGTGACGTCGCGCGCCAGATTACCACTCGAATGGGACCCGAGTGGGAAAAGACGAGTTGGGTTTATGTCCGCGAGTGACATGGAGGAGATCGTGTGAGGAGGAAACGAGAGACTATGGGCGATCGTCGGACCAGCTGAAAAGAGCCGCAGAGAACAGGGCAATATGGAGATGTGCTGTTAAAGCCCTATGTTCCACTCGAAACCCAACGGGAAAATAGTAATGATAATATATTTGTATTGTAGGTATATATATGCGATGTTAAACTGAGTATTGATCCGTAATTTAAATGCAGAATTAATACCACGTAAGTTACAATATGAAATCAGTAGTTGATCAATAGCTAGAAGTCCATAGCAGTAATAGCAGTGCTAATTATAACAAAAGTATTGATCTTGTTTAATATTCGACAAAAAAATGCATTATGATGCTCAATTAATAAGAGGAAATTAAAAACTACTTATCTAATGGTATACTTTAGAATATGATTGAAATGAATTACACCTTCATATTACAAAAAAACTGAGTAAGAAGTAAACGGAAAAGGAGAAATGATTAAACATAATAAAAACGAAATAGACCAGGGTTCAGCGAACACTTTTAATGTAGAGACAGTAGAAATTTCATTTACACTCACTAGCATAAGTCCTTTTACCGTCTGATCTACAGAAGCTATCGCAGTCTTACATTAAATTCCTCCAAATGTGAGACAGTTAACTTCACCTTTATACATAAATGTGAACTATATGAACTTGTCTGCTTACAAGATGCTTGTAGTGCTATGAAATAAAAACTAAGTCAAGCATTAAATACCTTAGAATAATTCCTTCCTCTGACCTTTCTTCGTCATCCTACATCTTGTCAATTTCTAAGAAAATGTTCCGTCTAACCTACTACATATTAAGAAGTTTAGACAATCAGGAATCTCGCAACCGCTACTTTTGCATGTCACCTATTGCTCTTTGTTGCTACCTTGTTAATCTTACCTGGGTTACTCATAAAAAAGGACTATATCATACTGCAAACTTTTTTTGTAGGACATGTAGTGTGTCACTAAGTCAGCTCGTTACTACTGCAGTCGACAAACATCTGAACTCAAGTGAGAAATGGTTTAAATCCATACTGTCTAATTCTCAACACCCTCTTTATTCACAAATCTCCCCACCTAGCATCTCACCACGTAGGACTAGAAGTTGCACAACTAAGTACAAAAACTAAACGATACGCCAATTTAATCCACCAACGTTCTACGTGATGATGATAGTGTGAGGCGTGAAACTTATCACTTACTATGTAATTAGCAAAATAAATGGCTCTTTGATCTTTTCCTATTTGTAATTTATGGTGACACTATTTTGAATTTTAACATTATTATCATTTTATATTGCTTGCATATTTTTGAATTTATTGTTACTGCTAATGCCAAAAGGGTTGCTATCATCAATTTTGGTTACCTATTACCATTTAATGATTTTTTGAGTAAGCTACATGGAACATTGTAGCAAACGCTAAAAATTTCATGCTGTATCATAAATACTGTTTCGGAATAAAGCAAATTATTAGTCACAGCTAAATAATCCTCAAGCTTGTCAGACCATCCCTTCTGAGTCCCCCTACTGTGCGTTTATTAGAAAAGCAATTAAAAGAAATGGGCGAAATGGCGTGAAACGATGCCCAGCTGGGCATCAAATTTAAGATCGAAATAATTCATAATAGGGTAAAAAGTGAGTGAACCGTAAAAACAGCATGCTGAGTCCAAAAATTAATAGATGTTAGAAGAAGGAGGACTAATAATACAAGAACATCTATCGAAATCCCCAGAACTCTGAAAATATAATAAACAGTCTAGCATTACTTGTACAGGACTACAGTAGACTGCCCCACTGAGATATATCCGAAAAATACATATCTGCGAATTAACTAGTTCAAGAAGAATGTAGTAGGCTTTAACCAATACTGGCTGCCGATTCTTTGATTTGTCAACCAAAAGTAAAATTAATTTTCATGGAACATTGGATTGGGTATCAGTAGCTCAACGGCAACCAGGTCATAGGTTAGAACCCCACTGTGTGGGTGCCTACTGATGAAGAGTCCCAAACTAGGACGAAGCAGCTGTCCAGTACCCCCAGCTGGTTTTCTAATGGTTCTCTAACCAATGCCAGCTTATGATGAAATCCTGTAACCAATCAATCAAATCCCTACAAACCAACACTTGAAAAATTAATTTTATCAGTAAATTTTCTCGAACATCTAGAAACAGAAACAACTAGTCATCAGAAGGAGAAAGCAACCTCAGATCTAACCATTAGTATTTAGACCAGATTTGTCTCCATTTTTGATATGGATGTTTTTCGTAGACATCTGTTCTTCACAGTTTGAATCAACTTTACTGTGGCAGGGATTACAGACATTCTTTAGAAATTTTGATCATTCACTGGTAAAAGTTTATTTAAGATCTTGAGGAAACTTAGCTACTCTGGAAAATGCTCACCTACTTCACCATTTCCATTCACAGTTACAATTTTAGTTGATTCTGCGCATGCGGTGTTATGTGAGGCGAATAACAAAACAAATTAGATGCAAAAGGTTTTAGTAAAATCAATATACAGCTTAGTCTTGTTTCATTTACTTGATAAGAATCACACTGTATGAGAAGTAAACACTTTCAGAGTTATTTATCGCATTCCATAGAACCTTTTGAATGGGATTAAAAGTCATCCTTCACACACACAGCCAAAGCTCTGGGAAAAAACAGTGGTTAGGACTCTCACCGACCATGCATATGGTCCGGGGTTCAATCCCTGCAGACGCACACTTAATATCAATGGTCGGCATGCAAAATTTTGGCTACCGATATTACATGCTGAAAATTCCATACCTGTACCAAAAAGTACGGTGTGAAATCAAGCTGTAATCAAAAAATAAATAAATGAATTTAATAAAATTGTTTTTCTGCCTAATTCTCTTCCTCAGTCAAGTTAAACTTAACAAACGAACTTGTTATTAAAACTTTTGACAACTCCTATATACATTATCATGATTAGAATCATTTGGATTTTCAACACAAATGTGAAGTCAGTTAGTTCTTCCGTATGGGTCATAAACTTCACTGCGTATCAAGAAAAAGATTTCCAACAGGCTACTGCAGACTTTCACCAACAGATGCCAACTTCGCTGACTGACTCTAAACTGAATACTAAACGGCCAGCCGACCGGCCAGAAAGAATTAGCAACAAGAAACTCTGGCTGGCAACACACCAACCAAGAGCCGATAGCTCAAAAAATATGTAGGAGAAATATGGAGATGGATCGGACATACGTTAAGGAGGCCGTCCAATGACATTGCACACAATGTAGGCTATTGCTCAAGTGGAGCCTGAATAGGAAGCAACGAGTGGGTCGTTGGTGAGAGGTTGAAATGGAGGAAGTCGTGAGAAGAGGAGATGAGAGATAACAGGCAGTCGAGTACCCAGGTGAACAGGAAAGCAGAGAATATAACAAAGTGAAGATATTCTGTTGAAGCCCTATGTTCCACTAGGAGCCTAAGGGAATAATGATAATAACTCAATATGCCAAGTACAATTATACAAGAATAACACCAAAAATGTTGCTTACCGATTTTTAGAAGCCCCTGCCACTGAATAGCATTCAATCCAAAGATAACAAGACTGAAACCCATTGTAGCACCGACAATACTGTGCGTGCCAGAAACCGGAAGACGAAAGAATGTGGCGATTAGAAGCCAAATGCAGGAACCTACCGAATGAGAAGATAATTTTTAGTGACGGATTCTGCCTATTTTTACAGAGAATGTTAATTGTTGCATAAAAATCGAGAAGACCGATTGGATCGTGCAAAGAGTCAAAAATACAAAATGGGTTCAACCACGCAAAATTAAATAAAACTTAATTACTGGTTGTATATTTATAAAGTAAGTTATAAACTTGTTCACTAAATATGAAAAGAATATTTCCCCCTCAGTTTCTAGTTTTACAAAAAGGAAGTTGAACATTTATCACGAGGATAGAGATAAACAGTATCAGATCACTGTCTGAAGAGATGAAGAAACAATTTAGACAGAATGCGTGAACAACTGGCTAGTATTTCAAAGCAAAGAGAATATAGTGCTTATATACTCACCTCCTAAAGCAGCAACTTGCCCAGCCATTAAAACTACATGTCCGTTCTCAATTTGACCAAAAAGCTCAACGCTGACAATACCTTTCCGTATTGTATTGGAAACTTTGGCACCTAAGAATAATAAGAACACTTATACATCATTTTACAGACATTACCCAAAAGAACGGAACCACTTAGTTCACAGATTGTAGCAAGAATACAAGCTTGTTTCAATGTCAATACTTTAGCGCCAACGCTGGTTCCAAATGAATTCGCCACATCGTTCGCACCGATTCCAAAGGCAAGAACGAAAGCAATCAAGAAACCAACAACCACCATCCATATTTGGTCTTCCGGGATGATCATGATTCACCAGACTTAAAGTCGGTACAGTAAGATTAGTGCAATGAGCACGGAAGTGATCCCCTGAAATTTAATAAGAAAATATCTTTAAAAAACATATGTTCCATATACTACAAAAACTTCTGTTGAAGTTATGAACAACAAGTGAATGTGGAGAACATCAAAGTGTTACTTTAGTCTGGCTTAACCTAGCTGCTTTAGCAGTTTAGTTCCCATCTTGTCGACTGAGACTTTCCCACTGAAATATTATCGTTTCCTATACAAGATGACATTTACAGTTTACCACGCTAAACTAAAAACTATCTCTTACTTACCAATCTTGTCTCTTTATGAAAGTGCTAACTCCTTCACGAAATTCCTAGAGGTAGGAGGGACCTGATGACTGGAAACTTTATAAAATAAATTTTATAGACGTATTCACCCTTAATCCCTAAATCTTCATACACTCGTTCATTTGCATCTATTTGATATTTTGATCACTCTCTTTTTCGAAATTTTGCTATATATTTCGTTTTTGATCTGAACAAGCCTCGTTCAATATTCCTTTCGTTTATTTTGGACGTTTTTCTCCGCACGAAATCCTCATAGAAACATACAAAAGTTGGTTAAAAATCAAATAATCCTCATTAGATCACAGAAAAATCTGCTTATTTCTCTAGAGTGAGGAATAAAACATTGGTAACCATAAGCAAAAGCTTATTTGTATGGCATAATATTATACTTTCACGAAGATAAAAACCTACAGTGTATGACATTATTCACACTTTCCAAGATCTAACTACGAAACATGTACTTTGAACGGTTTCAAAATGAAATAACTTGTTCTATATAACGTACAGTGATACTAATTAAATACTGAACAAAGTGCATTGCTCATAATCACATCAAGGTATTCCTTTAACTCTCAGGTTTGTTTACATTGTTCTGCTGATTTTTATCCATCCATTATATTGCCTTTAAAATACTGGTATTAGCGCCAAGTTTTCCGTAGTGTACGTGTTTGGTGTCATCCCTAAGAACAAAAATACCAGTGATCAACCTTTACTTCCAGCTAGTTATGTTACCTTTTAAAACTGTGACTCTATCTCATCCTGCTGTGTGATTATGAGTTAATATGTTCATTGTAACTGTTCAAACTTTCTCTAATTTTTTAATTGTTCAGAGTTAATCATCCAGTGCTTAGTTAAATTCCTATGCTCCGAAAAATTAATTGTCCCTGACTTGCTGTATTGGCCTGTGTAACTGACTTCATGTGTAGCATTTTGCAGATTAGGTTATCTCGTCTAATCGGGTCAGTAAAGTGCCTTTAACATGAAGGCTTTGTCACTGAGTGGGTGTAAGTGTTTGAATGCCGACCTGATTTCCGATTTATTCAGAATTCTAAGTAGGGTTTCAAATATTCTCTTCTTATATTCCAAGACTGTCTTAAATTCTTTCTTATTTGCATTATAAGGAATACTTCTAATACTATTTCTTATTTTGTCTTGTGTTTCCTGGAACATTCTAGTGAATTCTGCAAGGTAAATACTTAGTGATGATACTTTTCTGTTTCACTTCCTCATTTAGGCCTTCTGATGTGCAAATTAGAGTTCTTACCTGGTTGTGCTTAGACACTTAACTAAACCCACCTCTAGTGATAAAGTATGAGAGGACCGAAAATCTAAATATCTAATAGGGTGTAATGGCTTTTATGGACACTAGCTACTAACTTTTGTTCGTTTCACTTTGCAATCAAATACAGCTGAATTTTCCTACTCATTTTCTAGCTCAAAAGTAAATTTGAAACTATAGAGTTTTTGTGTGGCGAAAATACAGAAGTGTTCCTTTTTGAAAACAGTGGAAGTATCATTTACACGCCTCTACTGTATATTTGATGTATGATTAAATGTTTTAACAGCTACATTTGCTCAGCTATCTCATAAGATAGGACGTCTATAACTCCCTTCTAATTTGAAATCAGTTCACCTGAAACAGGACTGAATGCTTAATTCTTTTCTCGGCGTGTAACTTTATACTGCAACTCTGTTGAGGATCAGCAGTGAGCTCTTTTTCAAAGGACTCTGGAGCCATGGTGACCGGTATACTGATAAGAATAATCATATTTTCACCAATTTCTGTCTGGTTGCCGTTGAATTATTCTTCGCTTCATATGAACCGATAAGTATGGGACTTAAACTGTCTCTGACAGGACATTAAAAGTAATACTGCATCACTATGAGCTATATCAGATAGAATCATAATATTGTGGAGTTATTATATACCACAGTACTCACAAACTGTTCTCATATTAATGCGAGGGTGTTTCAAGTAAACAGGTGAAAAATTTCTACTCGTCAGTTTACTTGATAAAAGGCAGTTAATGCAGAAAATGTGAGTTAGAGCCAATGTACTCTCATGAAATTAGTCTGGATTCATCAACTAAATTGTTCAACCACTGGATTTTACGGGGTAAAGTTGGATGTCAGTCACTATTTCAAAACACTGGGTGGTAACAAGAAGACTCAAGTGGTCCGGTGAACACAGTATCTAGACGTTTTCGGAAACCACCGTACTAGAAACGAATAAATCGTCGCTGATGTTAAACAACCTTAGTGAGGGTTAAGACACTAGCTTGTCGATCCGGTCACTAGCGTATTCGAGGGGATTTGAGAAGATGCATTACAACTTTCTATGTACGTGGTATGGTACCGGAAGACTGCCCAAGCTTATTATAATTCTGAATTAAATCTCAGTAATTCTGAAATAATTCTAGAATCCTATGGTGAGTAAATTCTGAATTTGTTCTGAAGTCGATTGTGTAATGGCACAGACTAGAACTCAGTGCTAGTTTTCAGCATAACTAGCGCTAATTCAGCACCGTGTTCTTCTTTTAAGCATTGTCAGGAGTAAATCAGAACCTAATGGGTTTGCTTATTAGCTTTATTTCAGCCCTTTCAGATCATTTTCAGCACTGACTAGCATTACTCCCATGAGAGTGATATTAAGGCTGATGACTGCTCGATAAAGCTTCTAAATCATATTTTTTGTTTGAAAATACTTGGTCCGCCATGTATTAAAGTTATTAATAGGCAGATTACAGTGGGCTACAGCTAGATTGTATCGAGATTTATTTTTTGTGTGTGTATCAAAAGAGTGTTCCAGGGAATGCCCACCAATCTCTGTAACAGAGATAAAACGTTCTGCAGTACGAAAAGACTTTGAGTTCTGTCTACCACTTTCAAACAGTTTGGCACCTAACAGAATATGACGCATACCATGGTATGAAGATGCATTTTCATACTTTGTATTCATGAATGCAATTGTATGCAATTAGATCGTTCTTAAATAACAGAAAATGCACGACTCAGATGCCAATACACCAACATTTATTATCACAAAAACAGAAGACTAAAAAACCAAAGACACTCACGATTAACGGAAATGAGCGGAAAATAACGTGCCAGAGAAACAACGCGCCAGGAGTTGATACTGAGCTTAATACACAGTGATGAACAATAACAAAAATGATACAAATTTTAATAGGTGTTAGGAAAGTGACAGACTATTTTATCCACCTAAGTTGAAATCCACCAGTGAAAAAATATAATGAAAGGTACAACATTCGTAAACTACAGTGCTTTCAACTCTGGACTCTGCATTAATGTGATTAAATATCCTTCTGTTGACTTGTTGGTGAGATGTGACTTAACATATAAAATGTCAGTTTGTAGTCATTTTCATCAGTATGTCCAGACAGTGTCCAGTTTTTTACCTTTATTTCAAAAGAATGTGGCGTGGTAGATAAACACCAAGAGAATAAGACACAAGAACATTTAACTCAACAGTTTTCCTGAAATACACCTTTTGTGAATTAAATTCTATTTATCAGGATTTCATGTTCATTTAGGTTGAAGTAATCAGGTGATTTTTAGTAGCTACTAAATGAAACAAAACTCACAATCCCATCAATGGACTTAGCTCAAAACTTCTAAATTTTGCTTGTCAGTCGCAAATATGTTGCTGTCTGTTCCCTTTGGTCACTTGGAAAAAGTAGAATGAAATAACATGGCATCATTTTCACTGCAGTGACCTACGGAATCATTGCTCTCTAGGGAGGTTGGGGAATAAACTTCACGTCTTAAGAGATGGATAGTTCAACAGTTGCGGATGCTTTGCTGTATTGGCAATTAATACTGTCTGGTGCGATAAATATTTGGTAAAAGTTTATATAGTGCCACGCAGATTTGCCAGGTAGGCGGGAAGGATTGTAAGCGCCAACATCCCAGTCGGTGGTTTGACGAGCTCAGTAGCTGATAAGGACGCGAAGACCAAGTGACATCAGTCTCAGCCCCTTGTAATATTAAAGGATATCCTTCGTGCCCATGTGTAAATCCCACCTATGGTTAAGGAACTAGCTCCAGATACTCATACAGCACAGAACTAGAAGCTGTTACTTTTACAACAAGATAACCATCTGCCATTCAGATTAACTCGCTCTTATCATATCAACTTCGTGACAGTCGCCAGAGGATGCTTTGGGTATTCAAGAGTCACCCAAAAAACATACCCCTTATGACAGTCAATCAAAATTAACAGGGCCAACAACTGCATATCAAAGCTGATTATTGTAAGTTTTATCTGTGGGTCCTCCACAACATGGCATTATGTGACAACTCAACTGTTGTAAGTAATTCAGGGACTCAGAAGGATGAAGCGAGAAACCAAGCAGGATCTATGCCTTCTTTGTGATTTATGAGACTTTCTTTATTTGTTGAATGGCGAGTGCCCTTTCGTCTGTTTGAATATGTATGCCTCGCTGCGACTAAAAGTATCCATCCTGTTCAAGGTCATTGGCTATATAAGTCTCTTGAGGGTCATTTTCATTAATGTAGGTCAGCCAAGTTGAGTTGCCCTCTCCTAAACGTTCGTTCACACGTTGACTTCTACGTTAATCCTGCAGTTATCCACAACTTATCCTGATAAAGATAATTCACAAATGTTGCATCCTATATGCTTTTAATTTCTTAATATTTTTAATTTACAGCTTGATTCCACACCGTATTTTTGGTACAAGTATGGAATTTTCAGCATGGATGTCGGTGGCCCAAATTTTTCAGGCCGACCATAGATATCAGGTGTGCGTCGGCGTGGGCTCGAACCCTGGACCATGTGCATGGTCAGCGAGAGTCCTAACCACTGTGCCACCGACGCACAGGTAAAATTATTGACTCTATTCGTCTCCGAAACTTTTACCACAAGGCCAGTTCATTCATTTCATTGTAGTTTTTAATACGTTGCTTTCATGCGTGGTTGCAGTGTTTTGGTTAATGAGATAACACTACGTGCAATCCTGTATATTATATGTATGAACATGTTTCGGTGGCAGAATCTGTTGTTTTCAGTCCATATTTCGGTTGCACCTTTTGTTGGAGGTTCGAATGGTTACTTGAAAAATAGAAAACCGGAAAAACAATACCTTTCATGCTGATGTTTATAGCATGCAACAATCCATGAGCCAGCCTGGCGAAGATAGCACGGCCAGAGTAGATATTAGTAAGGTTTTCTTAGAGCATTTTAGACCTGGAAAATTTAGAACCTGAGTTGAAATTGAAAAAGCTTTGAAGATCACTGAGAACGTAAGTGAAACATAACTTGACCTAATATCTGATTATAAACACCTGATACGTTTTGATTGAACCTAAATTAAAGGAGTATGAACCACAATTCAGTTATGAATATACTGTGCCTGTATGTATTTTTCGAAATCAGAAAGCAACCAGAAATCTCTAAAAGGGTGATTGCTACCTATGGTTGTTGATGCCTAATATATTAGATCCAAATACGTGAATTAGAAATGTCCATAGTAAAGCCAATGTCGACAACTATGTAATATGCTGCAAAACGCTTTAGAAAGCGGATTGAATGCAATGATTTGCTAATCATGAGAACTACACCAATTGAAGTTTAGACTAAAATCGATAACAACAAACTAACAGTTAGTGGTCTACAATCCGTCGTTTTGTCAATATTGTAATAAATTCAAAACTTGAAAACTATTCCGAGTGACAAAACCGCATGAAACAAATTCCTTCCGTGAGTTCAAATGATAAAATGTTTTCTTTATAAATATGTTATGAATTTCAAAAGAAACCACATTTCGAAATCATTTAAGACAAATGTTTATATATATATATGCAAACATGTTTAAAGCTGAAACAACTGATTGTGTCCTCGAGTATTTATATATCACGCGACCGAATGTGAAGTAATTATCGAGAAAGATAGGTGTCAATGTCCAGGACATACTACACTGGACCTCACGCTGTCCTTGGAAGACTTTCAGCAACAATGTGCAGTAACAAACCCGAAAAACCGGAACACAGATTGGCGACTCAGGAATCCTTTATTCCTGCGCCAATGTGTTTCAAAAATAAGGTTAATATAAACAAGGTCTATGAAGAAATGTAAAAATAAATCGAAATAATACTTCTGATAGTTTTTCTCTTTCTCCAAACGAACAGCGAACGATGAAACGATGACTGCAGAATCGATGACTCCCGCCAAAATATAGAGTTGGGATTGAGCAAACAACCATGAATTGATCGTTCAATCTTCAACTCCATTGACACTCCCCGGCAAAAAAGGATCCATCCTTTTTTTCCATCATGACCAATACACGTTGACTTGGATGCCATTGCGAGAACCTGGGTCACACGGACAGAGCTGAAATGGAAAACAAACAGAAAAGCCAACACACCACAAGCATACCCACAGCACAATCTCACACATCAATGATGACCTGCGCCTTCCAGTTAAGGGTATCCTCTTGACATCTTGCAACACAATCGCCACTTGCTGGAATGACTCTTGCAGAACGCAACGTGACCATAGCGCCACCTCATGATACTCCACGCACGTCCTCGTATCTACCCACTACCAATTACCACTGCAATCGCTTGTCACTCATTCCGCCTGAGTCCTAGTAACGGTGACGTATGCAAGCCTCAGTTGTCTACATTCTCGCTACTCGGAATGTGGGACCACAGCCTAAATACAAACATTCATTCTCAATCATTGATTCCACAGCTAATCCTTATCTGCGTGTGCATGTCATTCTCAGCACTAGCCTAGCCTCCCAGGCGTATACGACCCATCTGCTGTCTTTAACTTTAATCAATTCATTCATGGATGTAGAAGACTCGAAACAACTTCAGAAGTAATCACGACGAAAATTTTAACACAATTACGCAATAACAACAAGGTACGAAAACAACAAGTAAACAAAGTGAATCCAAAAACACTAATTGATATGACACACCACACATATATACAAACAGTACACATAAGCTCGCAGATCATGTCTTGATGGTATTCCTTTGAAGAATTGCAGGACTTACACAAGTACGCCTGCAACCCTTCTATGGTTGACGATTGTAAGTAGAAGAATATCCGGACACAAACAAGATTAACCAACAATTTCATTAATTGGAACACACAATTATTTAACACAAACATGTGTTCAATCAATACATCAAATGTTGTGGACTCTGCCCTGAGGAGCTACTGTCGATGTAGTTGAAGATTGAACGATCGATTCATGGTTGTTTGCTCAAAACCAACTTCCCCAATTTTCGCGCAGGCATCAATACACCAGTCATCGTCTCATCGGTCGCTGTTCAGAAAGAAGTCAGAAGACAACCGTCAGAAGTAATATTGTGATTTATTATTGTAATATTTTTTCATAGACCTTAGTTTTAAATCTTAATTTTAAAGTTGGCTATATGTTGGTGTTACAATAAAGAATTCTCGAGTCAACCATTGGTGTTTTGGTTTTTTCGTCCGTTCGTACTAAGCGTTTCTGAGAAAATTCAAGGAACAGCGTGAGTCCCAGCGTAGCAAGAGATGGGCATTAACGGTTTACGAGACGCGGCCGACAGCTACCTTTGAAGAATTGTAGGACTTACAGCAGCACGCCTACAACCCTTCTCCGGCTGACGCTCTTGGTCGGAAAATCGTCGTTGAGTTCACTTGGCGACCCCCTTCCATTATAATAATAATAATAGTATATTCTCATTTTGTACATGAGAGACGCCAGTTTACAGGCATCATCAATATGATAAATTACATATACGATTAGCAATCATAATTAATAATTATGTTTGAATAAAATACACATTTTTTCCTACTTGTGTAGGACACACCAAATATACAGGCATGGATAAGCATTATATAAATTTCATGAATTTGGTTTATGGCTAAGTTACATGGTTGCTGGCGTTTTTATCATAGGTCTGTGGGAACAATATGATAACCAATCATTCAATGGAGCACGTCATGAAATATAGGGATATTGTCTTCGCATTAACAAAAAAACCCAAGTAAGTTTTGGATGGATTAAAAATACTTGGGAAAAAATAAAGCTTGAAGTAATTCCTCAATATAACTTGGGTGTGTACAAATCCGAATCTTATTTTTGATTTGATTTATATCCAAATTGGGTAATAAGGAAGCTATTTTTACGGATACGATCAGTTATGTTATAAGCTACAGTCGTGACGTTGTATTACAAATAGATACTTTTCCATTGGTATAGGAGTATATACCACAAATGTAATCCAGGTTGCGTCGTGGAGAAAGTTAATTCGTTATTAACCAGGCAAATGAAAGATACGGGACCAATAATGTTTGCAGATCATTTGTCATTGTCAATGGCCAAATATCCACATTATTCATTCTCACTCAAAAAGTCAAATGG